TACTGACAGAACTAGCCAGAGTTAGGCTGCCGTTGTCACGAGGTTAAGTCTTTTCTCTCCCTTCCAACCCTTGTGCCCAACCAGGCCCGTTTCCTGGTCTGTGGCGTGAAGAGGCCATACAAGGTGGTCCTGAGCCCCCTGCCCTCTGAGAGTCTAGGCATGTGTCTGTCCAGCAGTATCTGCAGTCCAGGACACGTTGCAAGGAAGGCCGGTGACACAGCAGGTGCCAGACCCCTGTGCCCTGTCCCTCGGGCGTGGCTCTCGGTCGAGTCTGCTGGGAAGGCTGTGCTGCCTCTGTGGAGGTTTGGGCTCTACTCCTTAGCATCCTTCCCTGGGCTACCCTTGGAGAAGGCCTTTGGGGAGGGTGCTGGCCACGTGTCTGCTATCCCACAGGCCCCCACATCTGCCCAGAGAGGAAAAGGCTGCAGGCGGCTGAAGACGGCAGCCGCCCCTGCCGGGTTGTGCTCAAGAGCGCCACCCCCTGGTGAGTCCCCGGCTTCTTGCGAGATCACAGGAAGTGCCAGTCTGCTCTCCCGCGCTCCTCTGCTTGGCGTGGAGCCCCTGCATCGCACAGAGTTCGGCACTTGTCTCGGGGTGGAATCTGCCAGGTGCCAGCAGCCCCTGCCCAGAACCGCCAGTGCCCGCAGGGAAAGGCCCGGGCGGCGCTCACCGCTGAGCCGCCTCCCCTGTCCATTCTCAGCACCTCTGCTCCTCCTGGCACCCGTGGTTCCCGATGCTTTATTTTTATTTTTATCCCATGTGCTGCAGCTCGGCGGTGGCACTGGCCTGTTGCAAACGGCTCTGTCTTACCCCGAGGGATGGAGGGTTATTTTCAGGTGGGAAGGATTCAACCCCATCTTTGTGCGTCAGGAAGTGATCGAGTGAGAGGGAGGGAGTGGCCCTAGGCAGAGATGACTGGAGAGAAGCTCTGGGGAGGGATGAGGTGGTGAGGGCCCCTGGGGTTGGCTTGGCCCTGGGGGAGGGGGGACTGTTGGGGGGGCAGGAAAAGGAAACACCCTGCCCCCCCCACCTTTGCCCATATACATGGCTTAGACCCAACCTTGGAGAACAAATATATGGAAATATTCAGAGGATCACATAAAATTTATGTGACCTTGGATGGAGACAACTTTTTTAAAGATGATGCATAAAGCCCAAGGCACATAAAAAACTGGTTAATTCTGAGATATCCAGAAGTGTAGCTTCCTGTGGCCACACATTAAGTAAGCAATGAGAATGGCCAGAGGGAGAGAAAACGCTAAAAACACATAGCAAGGGGTGCACTTCCAGCATGCACAAAGGGCTGTCCTAAATCAGGAGGCCAGAGAACAACCCTCTGGGAAGGTAGGGAAGGAATGGAATAAACTCACAGAAAAGCAAATGCACACAACCACCTGCTACAGGAGAAGACACACAGGTAATCAACAAAATACAGGTTTTAAATGACATACATTTTAACTCTATAACATTAAAAAAATAGCACTTGTCCCAACAGCACCAGATACTGGCCAGGCCCCTCCTCCAGGAAGTGGAGTGCGATGGCCCCAGGCTCCTCTTCCTCCTGCTCCCACGGGGCTGGGCAGACAAGCACAGTTTCCTTGCTAAAAGCTGGATCTGTCAGGTAGGAAGTCAGATATGAGCTTATGTGTGTGTGACATAAAGGCCTAAAGAGAAGACATCTATGTCCAGCATATGCATCTGCATCTCCAAGTCATCCTGACAATGTTTCAGGGGCAGCCCGGTATTTGCATCCTGCCCTGCCCCCTCCTACCCCATAACCTGCCAGGTGGAGGTCCCCGCCCCTTCTGCCTGACAAATCTTCCACAATCTCCCAGATGCAGCCCAGTGTCTGCATTTCAAACACCCTGCTCCGGATCCCCATTCTCCAGGGTGTCCTGCTCACCCTTCCTCCTGGCTGATACCCTCAGGGGAAAACTCAGACAGGCACTTCTTAGCATTTACATCCATAAAATCCTTGTTTCAGGAGGAGATGTGTGAAGACAAAGACCCATCTCCTTAACCCCACCCCCCACCCCGGCCTAAATGTAGACGGGCACTCTCTCTCAGGTCCTGTCTGGAGAGGTGCCCATCCATTCTTGTGGATGTCCCTGCCCTAATAAACTTTGCTACCTTTTACTTTCCACTACTCTGTCTCACGCCTGAATTCTTTCTTGCGTGAAGACAAGAACCCTGCCATTCTCCGGTAACAGATCCATTTCAGAGGGAAGTCTTTGATGCAGGAGAGGCTAATGTTAGCGCTTTAGAATTGCTCCCTTGAGTTCTGCAAGGTAAAACACCCAGGAACCTACGCACTGGCAAGGAAAGGGTCCCCAGTGGGAAGCCCCTCGCCTGCCTGCCTGCCGGAGAAGCCCCTTGATTCAGGAGCGTGCAGCACTCAAGCCGCCCTCTTGGACGGAGTCTGCCGGGAGCCCAGGGAGCCCTCCTTCCCTACGCCCCTCTCCCTCCACCGTGCGGAGTCTCCATCTGGCCCTTGGTTTGGAGCAGGTGCAGGCTTTAACCAGATGGGTGCTGCCCAGTCTTGCAAGTTTGGGGGGGGGGGGGCGGGAGGAAGAGCAGTGGGCAGTGTGGTTAGAACGCCGAGCTCCATCCAGTCTGTTGGCCAAGGTGAACGTGGCCTCTCCTGTTCACGCTTCCTCATCGGCAAGACCCGGAAGCCTGCCAGTCCCTTTATTAACAGATTTGTAAGCTGGCACTTCTCCCAAGGTCAAGCTTTCCTCTCCCACAGGACAAGAGAGTCTAAAACCAGATCGAGGGAACAGCACTCCGTCTGCTAGATCAGGGCTCACCCCGCCCTTGCAGGCTTTGGTCTCCATGACTTGGGGAGGGGCCTTGATTTCTTCCCTGTTCCAAGTGGAAGGAGGTGGAGTGGCAAGAGCTGGATTTGCTACCGGAGAATGGCAGGGTTCTCGTCCTCGCGCAAGAAAGAATTCAGGCTGGCGCCGCAGCTCACTAGGCTAATCCTCCGCCTTGCGGCGCTGGCACACCAGGTTCTAGTCCCAGTCGGGGCGCCGGATCCTGTCCCGGTTGCCCCTCTTCCAGGCCAGCTCTCTGCTGTGGCCCGGGAGTGCAGTGGAGGATGGCCCAAGTGCTTGGGCCCTGCACCCCATGGGAGACCAGGAGAAGCACCTGGCTCCTGACTTCGGATCAGCATGGTGCGCCGGCCGCGGCGGCCATTGGAGGGTGAACCAACGGCAAAGGAAGACCTTTCTCTCTCTCTCTCTCTCTCTTTCACTGTCCACTCTGCCTGTCCAAAAAAAAAAAAAATTTTTCAGGCATAAGACAGAGAGTAGTGGGAGCTAAAATAGCAAAGTTTATTAGGGCAGGGACATCCACAAGAACGGATGGGCACCTCTCCAGACAGGACCTGAGAGAGAGTGCCCGTCTACATTTAGGCCGGGGTGGGGGGTGGGGTTAAGGAGATGGGCCTCTGTCTTCACACATCTCCTCCTGAAACAAGGATTTTATGGATGTAAATGCTAAGAAGCTCCTATCTGAGTTTTCCCCTGAGGGTATCAGCCAGGAGGAAGGGTGAGCAGGACGCCCTGGAGGGGGGGATCCAGAGCAGGGTGTTTGAAATGCAGATACTGGGCTGTATCTGGGAGACTGTGGAAGATTTGTCAGGCAGAAGGGGCGGGGACCTCCACCTGGCAGGTTATAGGGTAGGAGGGGGCAGGGCAGGATGTGAATACTGGGCTGCCCCTCAAAGGTTATTGGGATGACTTTGAGATGCAGATGCATATGCTGGACACAGATGTCTTCTCTTTAGGCCTTTATGTCACACACACATAAGCTCATATCTGACTTCCTACCTAACAGATTCACCCTTGTGGCTGGGCTTTGTTGTAGGATGACCCAGGCTTGAATTCATTTAGTGCAACTGTGCGTTCACGTGCCCTGTAAACAATGGAGAGGGGAGATTCCGCAATACAATCACAATATTCTACACTTACAAACGAGCTAGGAGACCAGGAACACGCACTGGCCAGCCAATGGCAGGGACTCTTCAGTCAGAATAATTGTCTCCCCTTCTAATGTTTGTTTATTTCATTTGAAAGGCAGGCAGAGGGAGAGAGAGAGAGAGAGTAAGAGATAGATCTTCCATCCACTGCTTCACTCCCCAAATGTCTGCAGCAGCCAAAGCTGGGCCAGGAAGACAGGGAAACAATTGCATCCAGGTCTCCCCTGTGGGCCGCAGGGGACCTAGTCCTCGAGCCATCGCCTGCTGCCTTCCAGGATATGCATTAGCGGGATGCTGGATTGGAAGTGGAGCGGCCAGGACTCATTCCCACATTCCCGGATGGGATGCGGGCATCTGAAGTAGCGGCTTAACCTGCTGAGCCACCACACTTGCCCCAGCCCCCTCCTTTTCAGACTTCGGGTATAACACCCGTCTCACTTGAACTTGACTTATGCATGTGGGTTTACATTGCCTGGGTGGTGTTTAAGGCTTCTGTCTCCATTAGACTCTGGTTTCTGAAAAATAGTGACCCAGGCCAGCGCCTCGGCTCACTAGGCTAATCCTCCGCCTTGCGGCGCCGGCACACCGGGTTCTAGTCCCACTTGGGGTGCCGGATTCTGTCCCGGTTGCCCCTCTTCCAGGCCAGCTCTCTGCTGTGGCCAGGGAGTGCAGTGGAGGATGGCCCAAGTGCTTGGGCCCTGCATCCCATGGGAGACCAGGAGAAGCACCTGGCTCCTGACTTCGGATCAGCGCGGCACGCCGGCCACAGCACGCCGGCCGCGGCGGCCATTGGAGGGTGAACCAATGGCAAAAGGAAGACCTTTCTCTCTGTCTCTCTCTCTCTCACTGTCCACTCTGCCTGTCAAAAAAAAAAAAAAAAAAAAAAAAAAAGAAAGAAAAAAGAAAAATAGTGACCCAGAATACTTAAAAGCTTAGGGAATTTGCTGTCAAACAGCCTGAATCCACCTAGTTCCAGCGCTTACTCGTCGTATGGCCTTGAGCTTGTAACTTCACCTTCTTCTTCTTTTTTTTTTTTTTTTTTTTTTTTTGACAGGCAGAGTGGACAGTGAGAGAGAGAGACAGAGAGAAAGGTCTTCCTTTGCCGTTGGTTCACCCTCCAATGGCCGCCGCGGCCAGCGCGCTGCGGCCGGTGCACCGCGCTGATCCGATGGCAGGAGCCAGGAGCCAGGTGCTTTTCCTGGTCTCCCATGGGGTGCAGGGCCCAAGCACCTGGGTCATCCTCCACTGTACTCCCTGGCCACAGCAGAGAGCTGGCCTGGAAGAGGGGCAACCGGGACAGAATCCGGCGCCCCAACCGGGACTAGAACCCGGTGTGCCGGCGCCGCTAGGCGGAGGATTAGCCTAGTGAGCCGCGGCGCCGGCCAACTTCACCTTCTTGATCCTGTTATTCCTCACGGTATCTACCTTGCTAGGTTTTTGTAAGGAACAGCACTAACTTTTGCAAAGCCCCTTGGCACAAGAACACCTTCAACCAATGGTAGTTTATTACCTGGGAGACAGAAACCCATTCTTAGTCGCCTGTGTACCCGCAGCATCAAACCAGTGCTAGAAACATCAGAAGGGCCCCAGCCAATCCTTGTTGGATCGAAATACCCCTACATCTAATTGTTTCCTGGTTCCGAACATTTCCAGCCAAATCCAACATGAACCCTGGGGTGTGCTGGAAACACGGCTCAGTGAGAAATTCCCTTCTTGCCAACTTCACATAAAAAATGTACTCAGAAAGAAGCGTGCGCAGCAGAAGCCAAGGCCATGGGTATTGAGTTTGCAGTGAAACAGAGCGGTCGGAGGGTCAGAAAGACAAAGCATCTTGCAGCGAGGCCAGTCCCTGGGGGCTTTGTAATTACGATGTCTGTTTTTGAAGTTCTGCTTTGTGACAGCCGCTTTAGGTCAGCAGAGATACACAGGTGCGTCCTGCAATCGGATTGGCTGCCGAGGCCGCCCGTGCACGCCTGGAGCTTGTCCCAGCTCACAGCTTCCTCGTGCAGGTGCACAGCGCCTCACCTGCTCTCTCCTCTGCAGCCTCTCGCTCTTGCTCGCTGGGCTGTGGTTTTAAATGGTTCTTCATTTAATCCATCAGAAGGAAGCAATTGTCTTTAAGTGGGTCATTCCTTGGAGCGCGGCGCGGCAGCCTTCTTACGATAAAGAAATTGGGTCTTTGCAAAGAGCAAGGCGTCCAACCACAGGCCGGGGTGAGGGGCAAGGCCAGCGTGTGTCCCAAGCTTCTCCCAGAATGCTGTGTTGTGCTCTTAACCTCACTTTAGAGACAAGGAACCGCTGTGGGGCTTCAGTTCAGGCCCCGCATCCTGAAAACCATCTCCCTGACACTGAACGGTGTTTGCAGTAGGCCTGACATCTACCAGGCACCTGAGAACCACTGGGAGGACCAAACCCTTCTTGCTGATGGCCTCAGGCCTGCTGCAACTTAAGGAACCGGAAATAAGACGCTGCTGTTGTCTGCCGCTGGCCCCCAGAGTTACGTGCTGGACGCTCATCCCCAGCTCCATGTGTTAGTGGTATTTGGAGGCGGGCCCTTGGGAAGAATTCGGGGTTAGATGAGATCATGAAGGTGGGGTGCTAACAGTGGCTCCATAGGAAGAGGAAGAGAGGGGCCAGCGCTGTGGCATAGTGGGCTAAGCCTCTGCCTGCAGTGCTGGCGTCCCATATGGGCGCCCATTGGAGTCCTGGCTGCTCCTCTTCCAATCCAGCTCTCTGCTGTGGTCTGGGAAAGCAGTAGAAGATGGCCCAAGTCCTTGGGCCCTGCACCCGCAAGGGAAGACTCAGAGGGAGTTCCTGGCTCCTGGGTTCAGATCAGCGCAGCTCCAGCTGTTGCAGCCACCTGGGGAGTAAACCACAGAAAGAAGACCTTGCTCTCTCTTTCTCCCTTTCTCTGTCTATAACTCTACCTCTCAAATAAATAAATAAAATTGTTTAAAAAAAAAAAAGTGTGTGATGTCGAAATGCCTGGCCTGGGCATGACCTTTATGCAAGGTGGTGGGGGAACAGAAGACTCTCCCTCCACCCTCTTAGGAAGGAGATAAATCAGAAATAGAGACTTTCATTTAGGAAAAGAATGAACTGTACTTAAACTACGACGTAATCGCTCAGACCCAGTTTATCCAGTGCAGAAACACTGCCTGGAATATCTGTAGAACCTTCTGGATCAAGCACGTTCACTGCACGATGGGTCAGAATGAAAGGCCCCGACCAGATGACCTGTTGCTACGCTCAGATCCTCCTTTGGGTTTTCACCCTCCCCAGATTCCTGATACTCAAGGACCCAGAGATTTTTCTGTTGGGTATGGGTCCATCTTTTTTTTTTTTTTTAACAAATGAAGTTTATTTTTTAAATTTGCTTTTATTACTGATTTGAGAGACAGAGTGAGAAACAGAGTGAGTTCCTATTTACCAGTGACTCCCCAAATGTGCCCAGTGGCCAGGGATGGGCCAAGTGGAAGCCAAGAGCCTGGAAAAGTCAATCCAGGTCTCCCACGTGGATGACTGGGACCAAAGGAATTGATCTGTCATCTGCTTCCTCCTAGGGCACTCAGCAGGCAGCTGGGAAGAGGAGTGGAACAGGGCCTCAAACCCAGGCACTGTAAAATGGGATGCGTGTGCCCCAACCAAGGACTTTCCCTCTAGGCCAAACACCTATCTCCATCTTTATCTCTTTTCAAGATACAAATCCGGGATGGGCCACCACTTGGACACTCGCATCCTATATCAGAGTGCTCTGTTCTCTGTTCCAGCTTCCTACTGATGAGGACTTGGGAGGCACATTGAGAGTTCAGATACTTGGGCAATCTGGATTGAGTTCCTAACTCCTGTCTTCAGCCTGGCCCAGTCTTGCCTGTCGCAGGTGTTTGGGGAATGAACCAGATGATTGCAGACCTCTCTGTCTTCCAAGTAAATAAAAATCTAAAGACTAAAGTAGGAAAAAGATAATAGGTAAGTCATGCAGACTTCTGACACACGTAACTGCATGAGGCTGCAGAGTGCGGCCAGCGCTGGGAATGCAGGAGTTTGCGCGTCTGCGCACTCGGGCTGTGAGCGCCCAGGGTTTGGCTTGGTTTTGCCTGGTTTTCTTCCTCCTCCTCGCCCTCGTCCTCGGGGCCTCTCTGGCACTGAGTCACTCCGCGTATCCTCCGCCAGTTCTCCTTGTCGGAGTGATTTGTAACCGCCCTGCGCTGATAGCAAGCACCCTGGACGACTTCAGAGATTACAACGCAAGCATAGTGGCAGCGGTTGCTCCTGTCGTCTTCGGTATTGACCGCGCGTGCATCGGCCGTTCCCAGACGGCGGTAGTCCTGCCCCTGCCAGGGGACCGTGGCCGCCTTGCTGGCTCTCCCTCCCGCCTTCCAGCACCTGGCTTTCATTTCTTCATTCGGGAGATGTTGGCAGGCTCCTGCCCCACACTGGACGTGATCCCGGAGGCTGCCAGTCCAACGGTGAGTGAGACAGGCTCCCCCCACTGCCACCAAGCTTTGTGGATGTCTACACCGGTGGGAGGAGCAGATGGTCAATGAAATCAACAAGTGCAGGACAGTAACAGGCTGGAGGGTGACGGAGGGAAGCCTGCAGCAGACCGTGTGTGGTCCAGGAAGACTCCTCGTAAGAGGGGGCATTGGAGCAAAGAGGCCTGAGTACTGGGAAGGAGCTGGCCATGCGAGGGGGTGGGGAGCTCCTGTTTTCTTCCGTGTATATATGGAATATATGTGGCAATGGCCACAACGTCGGGGCTGGACCAGGCTGAAGCCAGGAGCCAGGAGCTTCACCCAGGTCAGGTGCAGGGGCCCAAGCGCTTGAGCCATCTTCTGCTGTTTTTCCAGGCCATTAGCAGGGAGCTGGATCAGAAGTGGAGCGGCCGGGACAGGAATCAGTGCCCATACGGGATGCCAGCACTGCAGGCAGAGGCTTAACCTGCTCCAGCACAATGCCAGCCCCGGAGCACATGTGTTCCAGAGACAGACAGAGCAGCAGGACAAGCCTGGGGGGTTCAAGGAACGGAAACGCTGGCATGCAGAGAGCCATCTTAGCCGAGAAGAGGAGAGTGGGACGGGGCCCCACAGGCCGAGGTTTCATTCCAAGGGCTGTGAAAAAAACCAAAGAGGCTCTCAAGTCAGCGCTGAATAAAACGCTCAGGCTGGTGTCCTTAGGAAGCCCCGGGTAAGACCACAGGGAGGCCGTCGCCCAGGCCTGGACGGAGGGCAGGGGCAGGCGAGGAGGAGGAGGAGCTGGCGCCGTGGTGCATCTCACGGGCAAAGCTGCCAGGGCTGGCAGTGGATTGAGGAGGGCTGCGAAGGGAAGAGGAACAGAGCTGAGCCTGTGCCTCCTGCATGGGCTTTGCCAGCCTTCCGGACCACCGGGACCCGGCCGGGCCCGGCTTCCACTTCCGCCCAGCACCTTCCCGAGCCCACTCCTCCCAGCGTGGGCACCCGGAGCCCTCTGCCCCTTCACCTCCACCCTTACCCCCGCCCCCGACTCCTGCTCTGACCAGCTCCAAGAAGGGAAGGAAGACAAGGCAGAGGCAGTCCGTGACTCGACTCTGCAGCGGCAGCCGCTCCTAGCCCGGGGAGCGTGTGTCTGGGATATAAATCTGGCGTCTCTCTGGGTAGCATCGGAAACAATTACTCATGCAGATGAAACACTCTGACTCCTCTCCTTGACAGTTAACATCTCAAGGAGCCTTTGCCATGTCCGCCCTCAGTTGAGATAGAAGCTAATATTTTCCATCCGTGGTCTCGGGGATAATAGAAGGCACCTCCTGGTTTCATAATAAGCTCCCAGTTTTTGGCAGGCCACGGAGTTACAGGCGTGGGGAGGAGGAAGGCAGAGAACAGCGAGACAGGTTCCAAGAAAGTACACTTGAGACTTGCAGGGCAGAAGTTATTTCAAAGTCAGGGCAAGGCAGACGGTACTAGCGTGGTTCCTGGGGGGACAATGGGGCTCCTGGGAGACGCGCCACCAGCCAGCCCCTGCGGCCTGGGCTCCAAGACAGGGCCTGTTGTCTCTCTTGTTCACGCACTCAGCCGCAACACACCAGGCTCCGGGGATGCTGGGGACATTCCACTCCAAACCCCGGCATGGGTGAGGGTGAGGGGGACTGACAAGGAAACAGAAAAAATACCATGCAGGCCGATAAGCATTAGAAGAAACCCGTGCAGATTTGGGTGCTGCGGACAAGAGTTCAAAGGAAGACAGCTAAGCGAGGCCTGAGGATGCAGTGGGCAGGGGCAAGGCTGTGGAACCCCAGGCGGGGGAACAGCGTGCACACAGGCAGCGTAGCAGGCGGCGGGGGAACAGCGTGCACAGAGGCAGCATAGCAGGCGGCGGGGGAACAGCGTGCACACAGGCAGCGTAGCAGGCGGCGGGGGAACAGTGTGCACAGAGGCAGCGTAGCAGGCGGCGGGGGAACAGCGTGCACACAGGCAGCGTAGCAGGCGGCGGGGGAACAGCGTGCACACAGGCAGCGTAGCAGGCGGCGGGGGAACAGCGTGCACACAGGCAGCGTAGCAGGCGGTGCTTGGCCAGTCCCGGGAGCTGCTAGGAGCCCTGGTGGCTGCCATACAAATTGTGCCTTGTGGAACACAGCTTCTAACACCAGGGCCTCCCGGAGTTTACAGCCCTTGGGGCTGAGAGTGACCTGCTTCGAACCCACAGAACTGGGGACAGAGGCGACAGGAGGTGTGGGATGTGTGTATGTGCGTGATCGTACCTGTCGGGCTGGAGCTCCTCACTCCTTCACCGGCTTCGAGGAAGCCAGGAGCCAGTGGGGAAACCCCCAGGGCCAGGCGCGTGGTGGCCTCCAACCAGCAGCCAGAGAACAGGAAGCCCATCGGGTACAGCTGGCACAAGGAAGCAGATCCTTCTCCAGTCGAGCGTCCGGATAAGACTGCAGCCCCCATGTGCACCCTGATTGCCACCTTGTGAGACCCGAAGCAGAGGAGCGAGCAAAGCCTCACGGGACTCCGAGCCCCAGGAAGCTGGACACGATAGAGTGGACTGTTTCTAAGCTGCCTAGGTTGTGACGATTTGTTCTACAGGGATTGATAACCAATAAACAGGGGCGGACGATGCTGAGAGCAGGCAGCTGGTGGATGCCTTGCAAGCCACAGAATTTGGACTGACCTTGGGTAACCTGGGTGAGGTAATCCAGAGATGAGGACTGCCCCAGCAGGAGCTCAGAGGGCCTGCTGTCGGCTGGATGGCATTCCAGGCAGACTCCGGGGCATGACCTTGTACCTACTTGGGGAAGAAAGTAGTGGCCCTGAGGATGCACCTGCTCGCTGGCCAGCCTGGTTTCCTTCCCCGAGGGTGAGGATCCTGCTCGACCCAGGCCACTGGAGGAAGAGCCTTGCTAGAGACTGGGAGTGACTTTCCACTGGGGCTGGCACTGTGGAGCAGTAGGTTAACGCCCCAGCCTGCAGTGCCAGCATCCTTTATGGGTGGCAGTTTGAGTCCTGGCTGCTCTACATCTGATCCAACTCCCTTGCTAATGTCTGGAAAAGCAGCAGAAGATGGCCCAAGTGTTTAGGTTCCTACTGCTCACATGGGAGAGCTGGACAGAGCTCCTGGCTTCAGCCTGGCTCAGCCCCAGCCATTGTGGAGTGAACCAACTACACCTGGGAAGTGAACCAACAGACAGAAGATTCTCTCTCTCTCTCTCTCTCTCTCTCTCTCTCTCTGTAATTCTGCCTTTCAAATAAATAAATCTTAAGAGAAAGTAGAGGCTGGCACCATGGCTCACTAGGCTAATGCTCTGCCTGCGGCGTCTACACCACGGGTTCTAGTCCCAGCTGGGGTGCCGGATTGTGTCCCGGTTGCTTCTCTTCCAGGCCAGCTCTCTGCTGTGGCCCAGGAAGGCAGTGAAGGATGGCCCAAGTGCTTGGGCCCTGCACCCACATGGGAGACCAGGAAGAAGCACCTGGCTCCTGGCTTCGGATGGGCATAGCGCGCCGGCCCTAGCGGCCGTTTGGGGGCTGAACCAACGGAAGGAAGACCTTTCTCTCTGTCTCTCTCACTGTCTAACTCTGCCTGTCAAAGAGAGAGAGAGAGAGAGAGAGAGAGAAAGTAGAAAACAAACAAACCAGATTCTCATAAAATAAATCCATGTGTTAGGGGTTTTATTTATTTTTAAAGATTTGTTCATTTATTTGAAAGGTGGAGTGACAGAGAGAGGGAGAGACAGAAAGTCTTCCATCTACTGTTTCACTTCCCAAATGCTTGCAACATCCAAGGCTGGGCCAAGCTGAAGCCAGGAGCCAGGAACTCCACCCAGGTCTGCCACATGGGTGCAGGGGCCCAAGCACTTGGACCATCTTCCACTGCCTTCCCAGGCCATTAGCAGGGAGCTGGAAGTGGAGTGGCCAGGACTTGAACCGGCACTTTGACATGGGAAGCAGGCAGTAGCTTAACCTGCTGCCCTATAACGCTGGCCTGATGTTAGGAATTTTAAGAAAGTCATCCAAGTGTGAGGGTACCTCAAAAACTTTATGGAAAATGAAGTTAAAAGATACTCATTTTAGTGCAAAGAAAATTGAAATCCCTGCAAACATGTCATTACGAACAGCATGAAAATGACTCTGAAGACCCAAACAGGGGCTCAGCGTATCTTGAGCAAGGAGTTCCTATCGGAGGTTTTAATGCAGATACTTGGATTTCTGTCATTCATAAACTTTCATCAAAGAAAAAGTCAAATTGTCTTCTTTTGCAAGAAAATACAAACGCATTTCACACATAGTTCCTCCACAACCTTCTGTCCAAATAGCCAAAACTAGAGCTGGTACCTTTATGAGCTCCCCGTGAGTAAACACCAACAGTAAATCGTGTGTGAGAGAACCAATGGCAGATACGTGAAAACGTGTCCAGCCACACACACTGGAGCTGAGTATGGAAGAGAACTAGAAATAATGAAAAGTACTTTTTTTAGATTTTCAGGCTAGAACCAGGCCTCCTCGCATCTACTCCCGCAGTAGATGCTGAAGCCCCCACGTCCCCCTCGGGGTCTGGCCAGGCCGCCCGCCGCGGCCTCCGGGATGTGGCACAGGAGGAAGCAAAGCAACCAGGTGGCTCCACCCGGCCTTTGCCAGCCTCGGCGCCACCTCCCACACATAGCGCGCTCCGGCCGACCTGCTGGAGGGACGTCAGAGCCGCGTGGACAGAGGTCGCCTTCATCCATCCCGACTCTCCCAGAGCAGCCGGCACCGGCCAGGTGCCAGCGGGTCGTAGACGCTCCAGCAGGCCCAGAAACGCCCCGCTGACCGAAGAGCGAGTCAGATCTATACTTGCAGTGGCGAGTGATGCAGCAGGAGCTCGCTGATGCAACCACTAAGTGCGCACGCGTTTGGAAACCCCTCCAGTAGGAGAGTAATCGTTCGCGTGTGGAGGTGTGTAGGCAAGAAGATCGCTAGAGCCAACAGTTTTCCAGCAGGCTGGGTGTGCGGCCTGGGGCCGCGGGGGTCACCTTGCTACCGTGGGAGCAGACAACTGGTCACAGGAGGAAGAACAGACAATGGTGGGGACCCCCTTGTCACACCCGTCCCCTCCTGCGCTTGCTCGGGGCACAATATGCGAGCTCAAGACATCCTCAGAACAAAACAAACGAAACCCCAAAGGAAAGGAACAACACATCCCAGAAGCCAGCCCAGGGCTCTGACCCAATAAGCCGATGGGTGCCGGAAGCCCTGCCCAGGGGGACAGGTGAGCCTTTCTCCTTTCGACAGAACGGCTGCTGAAAGTGCTCCCGTCTGAGGCTGCAGGGTCCCTGCACCTCCCTGGGTTCTGCAGGGCCAGGCCAGCAGCGAGGGTCCCGTCTGTCTCCAGGCCAGAGGTCTCTGCCTAGCTGGCAGCCCTCCGAGCCTGGTGCTCAGCCAAACACGGAGGTTCTGGCTCCGTGTTGCTCTTCCTCAACTGACTGCCATGAGAAGTTCGCTGCCCGCGCCATGAGAAGTTCGCTGCCCGCGCCGTCTGTCTGAGGACCCCACGTCACCTCCCCTGAACAGCACGGCCTAACGAGCTGCTGGCACGGCTCCCAACTGCCGTCCGCTTAGGATTCGCAGAGTCCCAAGGAAAGTGGAAAAAAAACAAGCCACGAGATTCAAAACCTGCCGCTGCCCCTCTGCGCCGGGCTGCACACGCCCACTCAGAACTGCCCCCTTGTGGCAGGTGTGTGGCTGGAGCGTGAGGGGGCAGCGTGGGAGGAAGAAGCCGCAGGCAGCCAGGGAAGCCAGGAGGAAGAAGCGGCTCCCTGCTCAGGGGCCCCCCCGGCTCTGCGACCTTGGACTTGGCGACGCCCCCTTCAGGCAGCGGTTTTCTCCTCCATGTAGGGGGTTCTCCCTAAGCCCCCTTCCCACTCTGCTCTTCTGTGTGTCTAATGAGGGTCTTTCTGTTCAAGCTCAGCCTCTGTTCGCAGCCACAGCTGCGTCTGGGGAGCGTGGCGGGACTCGGGGCCTTTCAGAGAGAGGTGGACCTTGGCTTTCTGGTGCTGCCGACACGTTCTTAACCAGCCTGGTCTTCAGCTTCGGACAATTAGAGACGATGCAGAAGCCGCGGGCATGGGCAGAGGCTCCGTGGTGGTCAGTATCTTTACTTTTACAAGTCTCCTTCCTGATTACGCAACAGCCTTAGGCAGGGAGTTAGAAGCTGGCCTGTGTGTGGGCGGGGCCTAAGGAAAACAAGGCATCCTAGGAAGTGAGGAAGCAGCCCGGGATTTTACAGAACAAAGCCCTGCGCGTGCCCTGAGAACTTTCCAGGGGTCTCGGCCCTCCCCCCAGGGGAAGCTCCCGGGAGAATCCTCCCTGCACCAGATGGACTAGCAGCCTGACAACGCTGGCCAATGAAACCTTCCAGCCTTCCCCTAAGGCAGGTGTCCAGGGGCAGCGGGCTCCCCAGTCTGATAGCACTGGGGGTGCAACTTGGAGAGGAATTTCTGCTGGTTCACACTCAGCAAACCCTTTGTCCTGGAGGAGGGGGAAGGGAAGGAGAAACCGTGGGAAGAACCAGACCCCTTCCCCTCATAAGCCCCGTCTGAGTGCAGACTGCAGCTCAGCTCTCGGCTCTGCGGAGCCGCCCGCCTGGCCTGCCAGGTGCATTCTCTGTCCTAAACCACGGAACCTTGCCGTCCCCACTCTGAGTGCCCGGGAGCTCGCTCTCTCTCAGGTTCTGTCGAGAGAGGTGCCCATCCATTCTGATGGATGCCCTGCCCTGTTAAACCTTGCCACCTTGCTGACCATTGCTCTCTGTCTGGCGTCTGAATTCTCTGTCGCATGAAGACAAGAACCCACCCCACCCACCTCCGCTAATGTAAGGACATCAGAGCCCACGGTGGGTGAGAATAAGCTCACTAGAATAGAAACAGAAAACGAGGTGCCCTGTGTGCGGTGGCTCATTCTTGGCTAGGAACCACCCACCTCGGCTAGGAACCACCCACCTCGGCTAGGAACCACCCACCTCGGCTAGGAACCACCCACCTCGGCTAGGAACCACCCACCTCGGCTAGGAACCACCCACCTCGGCTGAGCGTGAAACGTGGGGGAGGTCGTCTGGGTGACAGCACCGGCGGCTGCAGAGGATCTCCCGGAGCTGCCCCACACCTTGTCAGAGCTGGCACAGCCGTGACGTTAACACTTACTCTGCGTGTGGGAGTTTCTCCGTCTCCTTGGTAACAACGGCAAAGAGCTCTCGGGTGACACTGGGCGGTTTGTTGTCACTGTCCAAGGACCTTGACAGGAGAGTGTTCGAGATAGGAAACCCCATTGATGGCACGGGGCTGTAGGGGACCCTGTGTGTTTGGTGTTAGTGGGAAGCCACGCTTGTCCTGGGTGGGAGGGTCCATCCCCCACCGTGGGTGATAATTCACTCCCCTCACTTCTGATCGACAGGCCAGCGCAAGAGGAGCGTGTGCACACGCTAGCGGAAGGCATTTTCTCCAGGTAACTAATTGTTTCGCAGACAAGAGTAAGATGACTTTGGAGAAGCGCAGGACACCAGCCAGTGGAGCCCCGGGAAGTGCAAGCAGACAGCTTTCAGACCCAGCTGCCACAGCCCCTGGCATTTTCTTATCTTTTCCAAGGGCGTTACATTTACAAGACAAAAGTGTGTAGCATCAACAGTCCCCAGGGGGCTTTGGCACCCTCTCCAGAGGACCCTAGAAGTCATTCTCTACTATTGAGAAGCAGCGCTCATCAAAAATATGATTGCGGATCCGACACTCTGTCCTGGAGAGCTTTATTCTGTGCCTTCTAACGTTGCAGCCCAGACACTTCTGTTATAGGGGTGAAGGCACAAGAACTTTTAAACTGGGGCTCCAGAGATTTAGCTAAACTGAAACCGTAACTCTTGCAGGAGTTCAGTTGTTTTTTTATATAAAGATTTTATTTTATTTATTTGAAATGTAGAGTTATAGACAGAGAGAGGGAGAGACAGAGAGAAAGGTTTTCCATTCACGGGTTTACTCCCCAAATGGCCGCAACAGCTGGGCCCGACTGAAGCGAGGAGCTTCTTCCAGGTCTCCCAGGCAGGTGCAGAGGCCCAAGGACTTGGGCCATCTTCCCCTGCTTTCCCAGGCCATAAGCAGAGAGCTGGATTGGAAGAGGAGCAGCCGGGACATGAACCGGCGCCCACATGGGATGCTGGTGCCACAGGCGGAGGCTTAGCCCAGTACGCCACAGCGCCGGCTCCCTATGTTGTTTTAGAGCTCTGTTCTGTCAGCTTAGGTCCTGGACAGACCAGCCCACCCAATGGCTGTTTTCCTCAGTGCCGCGATACTGCTAATTATTATTATGATTACCTCTTTGTTCACAAAGAGAAAAGTCAAATGAAGAATAAAATATAAGTTTAAAATCTGTAGGTCACCAAAAACAGGTGAAACTCTACTGGGCAATTCGATTACCACGTAGCGTGGACGGTGAAAGGAGTGGCCGAGAGCCGCCATAAAATGGCCTTAATAAAATAAAAAACAAACAAACAAACAAACAAACAAAAACAGAAATTGAGACAAGCAATTCCAGAAACAGTCCTGGGAAATGGGGAGTAAACTAAGTTCACAGAGAAAGCAGATAGCTACTACCCAGAGATAAGGGCGACAGAACATCCTGGTACACACATAAGCCCCCTCCCCTGTGCTTGTTCAAGCTTAACAAAGAAACCGCGAGGCACGTAGGGCACGTAGCCACCCCTTTCTGCTCTTCAAGGACCCCCTCCCCTTGTCCAAGCTTAGACACGTAGGGCACGTAGCCACCCCTTTCTGCTCTTCAAGGACCCCCTCCCCTTGTCCAAGCTTAGACACGCAGGGCACGTAGCCCCCCCCCCCGTTTCTCCTCCTCCTCGACGACCTCCTCCCCTTGTAGTTGCCCAATAAACTCACGCCACCCTATAGTATGTTAATTTTGTGGTTTTGCCCCTTAAAAGCTGTGTGAGATAGCTGCTGGGGGCTCCTCTCTGCCCCCGCGGCTTGTGGCGGCCAGCAGAAGGCCCATTTGCGCAAATGAAATAAAACTGCCTCCTGTTTTTTTGCATCGTCTGGTCTGGAGTCTGTGTTTCTGGGGTCGTCACAAAAGGACACCGCTTTTGGGGTCCTTCAGACGGCGCTGGGAGAGCCCAGGCTCCTGCCTTCGCGACCGGAGGGCAGTCAGCCGAGTCTGTCCAGCTGCCTGACCGAGAATCCCCCCCACAGATGAGCTCCCTGCTGCAGGTTAGAAACAGTCTCCCTGGGGACTCGGAGGACGGGGTTGCTCAACAAAGGCCTTATTGCCTGGCAATGCAGAGCATGTATTTTTCTGTGTATCTTGCTAGGAAGTGATTATCGTCCAATACAGTGTGAATTTTCTTTTTTTTTTTTTATGTTTTTGACAGGCAGAGTTAGACAGTGAGAGAGAGAGACAGAGAGAAAGGTCTTCCTTTTTCCGTTGGTTCACTCCCCAAGTGGCCGCTACGGCCAGCGCGCTGTGCCGATCTGAAGGCAGGAGCCAGGTGCTTCCTCCTGGTCTCCCATGGGGTGCAGGGCCCAAGCACTTGGGCCATCCTCCACTGCCCTCCCGGGCCACAGCAGAGAGCTGGACTGGAAGAGGAGCAACCAGGACAGAATCCGGCGCCCCGACCGGGACTAGAACCCGGGGTGCCGGTGCCGCAGGCGGAAGATTAGTCTGGTGAGCCGCGGCTCCGGCCTACAATGTGAATTTTCATCATTTATCTCTGCCCATCTGGTTTCTTGACCAACTGGTCATTTTCCCTTCCGAAGTGCTGCATGCCACACTAGAGACAGTGAAGTGTGCCCACCTGCAGTGCCCACATGCTCAGTGCCTCCAGCGGGGTCCTGCAGTGTAATCACAGCCGTCTTCAGCGATGGGCCACAACCTTCGCACAGGCTTTGCAATGCCTCGAACAGATCCCAGTGGCTTGCAAGCTCTGCCGTCGCCTCCCTTGGCACCCACGCAGGAAAGGAAGCAAGGCTGCCCTGGCCACTGGGTTTCCACAGGGCTCCAGGGCCATCAGAGATGCAGGGGTCTTGAATGAGGCGTGGGGTGTCTCAGCCCCTCAGAACCCTGCAGGAGATGGCTGCATCCTGGGAGGGGGCCAGGGGCCAGGGGGCCAGGGGCCAGGGGCGAGGGGGCCAGGGGGCCAGGGGCCAGGGGCCAGGGGAGCAGGGGAACAGGCACTGATCTCATTTATATGCTAACGAGGCCTCCCAGCCCTGGAGCTGAGAGCTGGGGCCAAACCCCCAGAGTGGCACACACACACCACACAGCACACACAGCACCTCTGGAAGGCCCAGTCTTCATGAGACCTGGGTTTAAACTTCATTGTGTTGGCCGGCGCCGCGGCTCACTAGGCTAATCCTCCTGCCTTGCAGCGCTGGCACACCGGGTTCTAGTTCCGGTCATGGTGCCGGATTCTGTCCCGGTTGCCCCTCTTCCAGGCCAGCTCTCTGCTGTGGCCAGGGAGTGCAGTGGAGGATGGCCCAAGTGCTTGGGCCCTGCACCCCATGGGAGACCAGGAAAAGCACCTGGCTCCTGGCTTCGGATCAGCGCGGTGCGCCGGCCGCAGCGCGCCAGCCGCGGCGGCCACTGGAGGGTGACCCAACGGCAAAAGGAAGACCTTTCTCTCTGTCTCTCTCTCTCACTGTCCACTCTGCCTGTTAAAAAATAAAATAAAATAAACTTCATTGTGCCCCATGAGGGGGGCCATCGCCCCATCTTACAAATGAGGGGTACCATCTCCAGTCACCTGAGTCAGGGTCTTTCCCACTATGCAAAACACTTTCTGAGAGTAAGCCCAAACGGTGAAAGGACAAGTCACCACACACACACACACCATATGGTATACACACCACACACACACGCACCCTGTACAACACACATACCACACAGCATACACACACATACCCTGTACAGCACGCACACCACACAGCACACACACCCTGTACAACACACACACCACACAGCACACACACACCCCATACAACAAATAGCACACAAACACACACCATTCAACACACATACATCCTGTACAATGCACACACCACACAGCACATAAACACGCACCATTCAACACAGACACCCCACACAGCACACACACACACACCATATATAAACACACCATACAGCATACACACACCATACAGCACACACAACACAAACACATGTACCATACAAACACAAACATGTACCATATACTGCACACACTGTACCACATACTACACATACCACATATGTATCATACACCACACACACACACTCTATACCACACAAACCACACACATACACACACACCATACAGCATACATTCCACACAAACCATACATTCTGGCAGAGCAGACGGCCGAGCCACAGGCACACACAGGCAGTGTGCAGTGTGTCGAGAGTGTGTGTGTGTGTGTGTGTGGCATGTGTGGTGTATGGTACAATGTGGTATGTGTGATAGGCAGTATAGTATGTGTGTGTGCTGTATGGTGCATGTGTAGTATGTGTGAGTGTGTGTGTGGTATGTGTGTGGTTTGTGTGGTATATGGTGTATATGTGGTATAGTGTGTGTGTGTATGGTGTATGTGAGTGTATGTGTGGTATATGGTGTATATGTGGTATAGTGTGTGTGTGTGTGGTGTATGTGAGTGTGTGTGTGTATGGTGTATGGTACATGGTATATATGTGGTATAGTGTGTGTGTGTACGGTGTATGTGAGTGTGTGTGTGGTATATGGTGTATATGTGGTATAGTGTGTGTGGTGTATGTGAGTGTGTGTGTGGTATATGGTGTATATGTGGTATAGTGTGTGTGTGTACGGTGTATGTGAGTGTGTGTGTGTATGGTGTATGTATGTGAGTGTGCATGGCACACACAGGCAGTGTGCAGTGTCGGGGGCAGCAGGTGCTGGGGAGAAAGCCAAGAACGTGGGTGTGGCTGCAGCTCTAGACCAGCAGTCAGGAAGCCTCAGGCAGAGAACTAGAGGGGCAGAGGAAGCATGGCGGGTGCAG